CCGCCCGCCGAGCCGCCACGCCCGCGGTGACCCGCCGGGCCGCGCCATCTGTCACCGGGCGCACCGCGCTGGSTACCGCACCGCTCCGCACCGCACCGCTCCGAGCCCGCCGCCGCGGAGCCGCATTGTTCCCATTGTTCTGGGGTACGGCCGCCGAGGATCCCCGCCGTCCCTCCCCTTAGCATCTCCTAACGGGCGCCTCTGACCCCCGGAGACTCCCTGTCCCAGTCCTTGCCGCYCCCTCGCCGCCACAGACCCCCCCTTCTCCCAGCGCTGGGGAAAACCGACGTCCCGGGGCTGCTATGAACCACCACTCACCACACCCCCCCGCTCTGTCCTAACGCCTGCAGTAAAGCCCGGTTCGCTTTTCCCGGTTTTCGGTGGGAGTACTGCCGGTTAACGRGAAGTTTGGAAGAAAGACGCCGAGTGGTGACTTTAGAGTCTTTAAACGTCTCGGCGGAATTTGCAAACGTCGCCAAACCTTAGGGATGCTTTTTAAGGAGGGAGGTAGCCCCTCGCATGATAGCTGCGCTACCGGCACGCGCTATCCGGATATTTATTCAATAAAAATAAAATCATTTTCACCTCTTGAGGTTTTAAATGCGAAACAAATCATTCCGCCCGGAGGTGGTGGATTCGGAAGATATCTTTCCAGGTCGAGTTATTTTTAAAATGTTTCTCTCCTGTTGGTGACCTACATAGCCCGGGGCCGGCGGGGCAGCAGGACGGGATTCCGGCGATGTTCGCCTTCTCGGTAATCAAATAGAGAGAGCAACCGCCTGCATTTTGTTATTTCAAAGCTGGCCGGTTCTCTGTGGGAAGCGAGGRCCAGCAGCGCTGTGTGTGCGGCCAGGACGGGCGAGTGGGGCTGGAGCGGGGCACTCTGGGCGGCTGCAGCCCTTCCTTGGGGCACGGAGGGGAAGGAAGCGCCGGCCCTGACGCACCGGAGGACAGCCCCGACCCGTGGCGATCCTTCCCTGGCCATAGAGGCGCCCCTAGGATTCGAGGGGCGGGATTCGTCCATTCCAGGCCAGGATCCGGGAGCATGCCCGTGCCCTGGGGGGTTGGGCCGGGCCACCCGCCGGGCTGGCAGCYCCCTCGAGAGCGAGAACCCATTAATGGGAGCTGCTGGGACAGCCGCCCTGGAAGCGCGGGTTTTGGATTGCGCAGGAGAGAGATGAGTCTGGTCCAGCCCTGTCTCGGCTGCTGGAAAATGTCCCTTTGAATGGGACTGTAGGGAATACACTCGGGAGTGTGGAGCTCTGGGGTAACACGAGGCAAAAACATTGGGARGAGGACATCGGCAGAAAACTGGATCTTGGGGAGCCGTGAAAACTTTGGGGTGTTCGTGTGCTTCTGAGTGTGATCAACACAGTCATCTTCCCTGGGAGCAAAATAAAATCAACACGTTGTCGATAGACAGATAAGTAGAGAGACAAATAAAGGGGCAGGCAGACGGACAGAAGGGCTTAAACCCGCCGAGCCCAGCTCATTCCGTCCCAACGGGCGCATGGCGARGGTACCCATTGGCCGTGGAGGAGCCGGGCTGACAGGTACGAGGCTCTGCTCCGTGCCACCCGTCGGGGCCGGGGATGAGCGCTGCGCTCCGGGGGCGCCGGGGCTCTCTGCCGCTCCGCCTTCATCTTTCCCGCTCTTCCCGCTGCTTCGGCACCGCTTGTCCTCCCGATCTCCCAGGCAGTCGGCTCTGCCTTCTCTGCTCGGGCCGTCCCCTGGCTCAACGRCTCCAGTTTCCCACCTTCCCTGTTCTTCCTCTTCCCCCAGCCGCTTGATTTTATCGCTTCAAGCGTGTCTTTTTTTTTTCTCCCTGACCTACAGACTCCTCCTTCTCCATCTGGCTTCTAATTCGGCTTCTGTTTATTTTTCCTCCCGAATCCTTTGATTTTCTTTCCCTTTTTTTTTTTTTAAATTAATTTTCATTTTTTTTCCTTTTGCCTTTCCTTTTCTTTTTCTTACTTCATTTGCTTATTTCTTTTTTCTTATTTCTTTTCCTTTTCTTTCCCTTTTCCATTTCCCTTCTGCCCTCCCTCCCTCGCTCCCTTCCCACCCCCCTCCCCTCCTCCCGCGGCGCGGCACGCGAACCGCACGCGTCCCAACAAAGCTCCGGACGGCCCGGCCACCCCCCTCTCCCTCCTCAGCTGCTGCCTCCCGGCCCTGGAAGGAGGCGGTCCCGGGGCCGCTTGGTGCGACGGTGGCGAGCGCAGCCCCTTCGCGGGTCGCCGCTGAGGCTGAGCCCTGTCCCAGCCGGGCGGCGGGGGGATTTGTTGCGGGGGAAGCAGCGCTGTGGAAACGCCTTACAGTTGTCCGGAGCGCGAAATCCGYTCCCGATGAAATCTCTTGGGTTTGCGGCATTATCTTAATTAAGATAATTGATTCATATTGCACCTGCGAGAGTGCGGGGAAAAGATGCCTTCCCAAATAGCTTGGAGCTATTGGAGAGAGGAAGCCGCGCTCATAATTGAGCGAATGATTTACTGCCCGGGCAGCCAGGGCTGTTCGGTCTCTGTCCTTTCGCTATCAGGTTTCCCGTTCCCTCCCTCTCCAGAGAGGCACCCACACAAAACCCGAATGTCATCCCGAATAAAAAAAATAAAAAAAAAAAGAGAAGGGAGAGCGTGTCTCCCCGCTGTCSCTGTCCCTCGGTCCCATCCCACCTCACCGCTCCGTGGGGCCGGAGCCACCGCTGGAGCAGGAGCAGGGAGCGGGCTCGGGAAGGGCCGCTTGGGTTTGCCCGCGGGTTTCCCCCGCTCGCCCATTTCCAAATGCTGCGGAGAGAGAGGGAACGGAAGGAGAAGGCAGCCCCATCGCCCGAATCATTCCGAGCTGTTCCCTGGCTCGGGAATCAACGGGGGATAAACCACTTTGAAGTGCACTCCGGTACCGGTTCGGTGCGGGGAGTGACTGCGTCACACTTCGTAGCGTCTCTCTAGGATACAGTGTACCGCTGGGCTCGAAATTGGTACAACTGATTGGGGTGCCTTTTCTGCTTTTTTCTCCCTTAAAACTCAGTGTATTAATTTTGTTGAGCCTTTCCCCGCTAAATAAATGCTGTTATTATTTTAATTCTTTAAATGTAAACTTCTATTTAGTTAATGGAAAATACATCACCACCAAGGTTTAATTATCAGCTTTTTGAATTACTCTTTTAGTCAAGTGCACASAATTATGAAATCGCAATAGATTTAAAATATAATTCAAATTGATTAAAAAAAAAAACAAATCAGAGAAGTATGTACCATTAAAGCAAATTTCTAAATTGTATTGGTAGGCYGGCTACTGCCTCAGCTACAGTTTAAATAGCGTCAGCAGTCTTTGCTATCGGTGTCAAACCACCTCTGTTATTAGGAAAAAGGATTCTTATCAGAAGGGATTTAGATGCTGTTGTAACTGCAAAAT